GAGTGCGGAGACCTGGCGAGCGCCTGGTCGATGTGTGCTGAGTCCATCGGGTGAGGGTCACACAGTGTGGCTCCCAAGAGGTTTTAGTGGCTGCACTGTGACAGTGCTACGATTGAACAGAGGGCCCCACACTTGGTAGGCAGGCACTCTACCACTTGAGCCATACCTCCAGCCCCATTTTCATTGGTAGGATCTCACATTATTCCTTGGCGGGTCTAGACTGCGAGCCTCCTGCTTGTGCTGCCGCGTGGCAATGGGATTACCCGAGAGACTGACTGAAGTGGGCTGAGAATGGCTGGGGGAGCCAAATGACCCGCCATGAGCCCCAGGAAAGAAGGAGCTGCCTGCTGCAGAGACGGAGAGCGGGGCTGGGGTCGGGGTCCTGTGAGCACCAGATTTCAGAGCGGTCTCCTGGACACCGTTGATTTGCACGTGCTGGGCTCCTGGGGCCACGGCCCTGAGTCAGCGAGACTTTTTGTCAGGAGACTCAGCGGGCACTTTCTGAGCTGTCACCACCGTCACCGTCATCCTCTGCGGGGAACACACGGCTCGGGAGTACAGGCAACCCTCCAGGGCCATATCTGAAAGAGACTTGCAAAACAGTTGGGCCACCTTGGCCTGGCAGGAGGCTGATCTTGGCACTCACCCAAACCTCACCCCTCTAATATTCTAAAGCAGTGACCTAGGGCCGGTGGTGTTGGCAGTCCGCAGGGAGAGGCTGGTGCGCACAGCCACAGTGCTCATTCGTGCGGTAAAATGGAGACCCGATCAGAGGCAGCCTGGGCGGCAGGGGCTTTAGGGAGTATGATCAGCCTGTTGCAGGACGCACGCCTAGAATGCTAGCAAAGCACATGGGGTCATCCTTTCCTCCAGAGAATCCATAGCTCTTAACTCCATCAGTTTTTCATCCAAATGCTCTGCAGTGCCACCTAAATTCTCCATTCTCCATCCCAAAGCCCGGCAGCCCCGCCTCACGCTCCAGCCTGCTCCTCCCCCACCCCGCCACACAAGGTGTGTTGAATGGGCCTGTCACCGCAGGTACCAGGACTGGCAGCCAGGCAGGGACTTTCTTGGGGTCACTCACAAATAGAAATCTTCCATTGTGAGTCTGTAGAAGGAACACGTGAATCTCTGTATGCCCCAAACCTAGTATCTTTGACCACGGAAAACACACATGGATAGAGGAATGTTTCTGCTTTGATTGGATTAGAATCTCTCCCGCTCCTCCCCCACCCTCTCCCTCTTCACTCTTTTTCCTGGGACTGGACTCAGGACCTCCCACTATTAGTGAAGCACTCTGTCTCTTGAGCCATATCCCTATTTTCTTTGCTTTTAGTTTGTATGTCAGGTTGGGTCTCAAGCTTTCTCCATGACCAGCCTCCATCCACAAGCAGCTGGGATCCAGCTGTGTGCCACCTGAACACCAAAGGAAATCTTACCAGTCCTTCAATATGTCCCCTAACCAGGCAAGGGACTGTCTTTGGTCCAGGCGAAGCCTCGGGCATTGGCTCAGGAAATGGCAAAGGGCATGCTAAGTGCCGGCTGGGTTTACCCATGATTTACAAGCAGTTGGGAATTAAAATTCTTTACTCCCCTCTGGGAAAGGTCACTTTGCCACATTTCCTTCTGTCCTGGTTGAACTATGCCTGAACACATTTACTTCTCCTACTTCTGGCTGGATCATTTGTCAGTTATCATCTGACCCTGCAGGTCTTAGCAGATGGTCAGTGGCGGTCTCCTTCTGACCACAGATTCACACGCATGGAACCCTGATCAGATGTTTCCTTTAGCTGCAGACATAAGACTCTACAGGCCTAAGCTTAACGTGTATCAGAACACTGCCCCACTAGGAGCTCGTCAGAGCACTCATCCCAGCCTCTCGGTCTGAGCTCAGGCTGTGCTTCAAAGAGCGCCCTCCGCCCTGTGCCTTTGGATGTTGGAAACATTAGGTCTTAACCATTTCTGCAGCCTATATTAAAATGCGAGCCTTTTCAATTTCCTAGGATTTTATTTATTCTTTTATTTTAAAATATTTAAGGTGTCAAGGTACACTGCATGAATGCACTCACATTGTGTGGGTAGGAGCATAAATAGGTACAATGTTTTGCAGGAAAACAACTGATATGTATCAAGGACCTTAAAAACAGCTCCAGCATTCGATGCAGTAATATCATTTCACAAGAGTCCTTCCTAAGGATACAGTTGAATTGTAGACAAATGTTCATGCATATGTGTAATAGCTAATAATGAATAACTGGATAATAAGGGAATGATTACGTTATTAAGATACCCATGAAGCTGGGCGATGGTGGCTCACGCCTGTAATCCTAGCTACTCAGGAAGCTGAGATCAGAGGATCACAGTTATTTGGCAGGAAAGTCTATGAGACTCTCATCTCCATTCAACCACCAGAAAACCAGAAGTGGCGCCGTGGCTCAAAGTGGTAGAGCACTCGCTTTGAGCGGAAAAAGCTGAAGGACAGGACCCAGGCCCCTGAACCGAAACCCCACAACCAACCACGGGAGGGGGGAGGGGAGAACCGGCAAACTTTCATAGAATGTTTGTAAGAAATACTATACATAGGAAAAAAATCCAAAAAGTTTATGCATGCATGTATTTTGAGACCACTGGGCGCTTGGGATATGCTAATGTGGGGAAAGCTGCCACCCTGCATGGCGTGGTGTAGCTCGGGCCCACAGTCACGGTTTTTACAGTGTAGAAGGCCTCCAGCCGTGGAGCCCCCAGGGGGAAAAATATAATAGAGGGGTTTCTGCTGCTGTTGGGGACATATTATTTTGCTTCTTCCTTAGAAATCTCTGTCTCCTCATATAGAAAAGCTGAGTGTTGTGCTATAAAGCCAGGGGGCAGCCTTCCGTCTCCAGCAGACATGGCACGGGAGAGCGCCAGCTGCTCCCATCAGTCAGTCTGGCCTTCACACAGATGGTGGTAAAGGTCCCTTGGGAACTGCTCCACTTCCTGCCACGGGACATGGGCTAGAGTCACGGACACAGCTGTGTCCTCACTGGAGGGCTGCCAGATGTGGACCCTGCTCCAGGCTACTGCTTCTGCCTGGCTTTCCCAATTGTAAACCCCACTGGTCCTCTTTGGGTTGGGGGGGCTTCTTTCAACTCCCTCCACTTAGCTCCCCACTGTTCAGCCATCCCCATGCTCTTCCTTTTTACCAACCTGGGGTCACCCCTCCCCAGATACAGCCCAGCCCCACGAGCTCTGGACTCAGCCAGCCAGAGTCTGACCCAAGACACCAAATGTGAATGGATGTGTAAACTGAGTCAGGGCTTCTCACTGAAAGTAAGAAGACTTTGGGCTGACCTGCCTGGACTCCTCCCACTTACCTTCCAAAGTCCCCTAAAATATTCAGCAGGCTAATGGGCTTCAAAAGGAGTAATTTTCTGAGACATGAGATAGGACAATATAAAAAGAACATTAAGGAAAAAAATTTCTTATTCCGAAATGAAAGGGGGAAGATCATTTAGCATCCCTGTTGGTGTTATCTATTCATGAGAAGCAGCACAGCCAGTCCAGAGGGGCTGTGGGGGGGCTTTGATGCCCTCACCTTGGGGTCACCTTCATGCAGAACTCATCAGTCTCCCCTGCCACAGACGGCGGGGGCCACAGGGGCCGGAGGAGGACTCCACAGGGTGCTGGGAGACGCAGAGGCAGTATGAAGGACAGGGAGTCCAGCCCGACTCCAGGCGCTCACTCGGGGCTCGGGGGAGGGGACACCCCTCCAGTCAGGCCGCCTTTGGCGTTTCCCATTCTCCTTCGCACACCGTGGCCCACACGGCTTCTGCGGAAGTTCATGGAAGAGTTCAGTCTCTGGAGATGAGGGATGACCATCCTCCTGAGACAGGGGTAGCAGGTGTGAGGGTACCTGTGTGTAGAGAGTTCCTTGCACCACCTTGTCCAGGCGGGGAGACCCGTCGCAGCCCTTTGTGCCTACGCAGAGGCTAAATCTGCCTCCCTCAGAATTCATTTTGCTGGGACCAGAAGGACTATGAGTTGACACTTGCTTCTCTGACGAGCCTTCAGACAGCCAAACCGAAACCCCTGTGTACCACTCCTTAAAGAGGATTTAAAAATTATCTAAGTCCAAAGGGGGGGGGGCTCCACTTCCCTTGCATACCCAGCGTCTCCTGTGTGTTCATTGCCTTACTTGTTTCTAGCTCCTAATTCTTTCCTCCTTCCTCTTCTTTCCTTCCTCCTCGCCCTCCTCTTCCAATCTTCATCTTCCTTTCTACTCCCATCTAACAGTATTTTTTTAAAGCCCCATGTATCCTCAAATTTAAGGTGTGTGGGAGGAGGTCTCATTTGAGTTTCTTTTGCTACTAAAGAATGAAGCTCTACTCAAAGCAAGTTAAACTTGCTCCTACCCACCTGTCCATCAAAAATCTGCCAGCATAGACAGCTGATAGTTCCGTGACCAAAATCATCTGTCCATAATCAGAGAGAGTCAGCCCTCCACACCCACAGGTCTGGCAGCTGAGGATTCATCCAACCACAATCACAATTATTTGGAGAAAGAAATTGTACCTGTATTGAGCAAGAACAAGTGTTTTCCTTGTCACTATTCCCTAAATAATAGAGCCTGGCAGTGACTTACATTGCATTTACATTGTATGTGGTATTCTGAGTAATTCAGAGATGATTTGAGATGTACAAGAGGGTATAGGACCTATATTATTTTACATAGAGATGGAAGCACCCGCATAGCCTGCGGTCGGCAGGGAGTCACGGAGTCAGCCCCCTGTAAGTACTGGCACCTGCTCATCTTCTCCCGGCAATGGGATTCTCTGGGTGGCTCTTGTCACCCTGCGTGACAGCAAGCTTCCATGACCTCAGCAGAGGTCACCCGCCATCTTCCCTGAGTGCTTGGGGTAAAATTGTCAAACCAGAGATGTTTTCTCCTCCTTTCATAATTAAAAAGACCATTGGGTGTTGAAGGTACATATTCAATAACAAGTGTTGCTTCTCTTCATTAGATTTGTGACAAAGAGTGGCATTACTACGTCATCAATGTGGAGTTTCCTGTGGTCACCCTCTACATGGATGGAGCAACGTATGAGCCGTACCTGGTGACCAACGACTGGCCCATCCACCCCTCTCACATAGCCATGCAGCTGACGGTCGGTGCCTGCTGGCAAGGTAACCTAAGGGGGCTCCTCTTCCCTACTCTGTGCTCTCTGTGGAAGATACAGCAGAGAAAAAGGAGATGCAGTGGCATAGCGTTAGCAAGAAAAGCAAACCCTGCTAGCTCACTAATGAAACAGAACTTAGAAAAACAAGTATAAACCAGATGCTAACCCTGTGACAGAGTTTCAGCTCAACATGTAGAGTCGCATAGTTGCCTCTGAGTTGCTGATGCTCTGTTATTCTGAAACCTCGGAATCTTGTATTGGAACCCCAGTGGGCTCTGATGAGTGCTGTGCTGGGTCTCCCTTCCTCTTCCCCAGGCTGCCCAGCTCCCCTCCTCTATTCAGGGGACACCACCATAGCCAGCACTGTCGGCAGGCTGGGAAGCCACAGAAGGCCCTGTCAGGGTTGGCTAGGCCCTGAGCCCCATCCCTGGTGTATTAGCACCAAGGCCCAAAGTAGATCCCAGAGCCCTCCCATTGAGGTCTCTGCTCCCTTCTTTCTTTCTCCAATTCCGGAGTCCAGGCCCATGTCCTGAGCCAGGCATTTCTGGCTCTTTCCAGATATGTAATAGTTCTTCCTTGCAGTTCGGTTTGGTCATACGTGTTGTTTTGGCTACTTAGTTATAAATGAGGTGCCTGAGGTCACTTCTTGGTAGAAATCTTTATTATTAGTCTCTTCAGATAGCTGTGCACAGGGCTTCAATTTAACATATCCATCTGTCCACACAAGGCATCTTGGTCACGCCTCCCTCTTCCCTGAACTGCCCCTCCCCACCCATCTTGTCAAGTTTCCCAGTTCCATTTTGACATAAGTACATTCAGAACTGTGACTGCACTTCCCATCATTCCTCTCTCCATTCGTCAGCTCCCCCATTAAGTCCCACTCCTGCAGTCCAGACAAGTTCCAGCTTCCAAGTATTCATTTTCTTAAGCTGTCTGTTAATTACTGAAAGCAGTGACCCCCATGGGAACACACGCATGCACACACGGTAATTCAGTTTGATTGTGCATCTATGGATATGGCCTTGTATGTGTGTTAGGTCTAACGTCCACAGAGTAGAGAAAATGTGCACAATCTGTCTCTGAGCCTTACTTCACTCAGTATGACATAATAGGGTTCTCTCATGGAGAGTAAAATCCATTGTATGACGCTTTTTGATCCATCATAGGGTATCTGGGCTGTTTCCATAACTCAGCCATGGTGAATGGTGCAGCATTGAACATGGAGGTGCGAGTGTCTTCACTGTAGCATGGCTGGGTCACAGGGTAGTTCTCTTTTTAGTTTGTATTCTTTGAAGATGCTAAAAAAAAAAAGAGGGGCTACAGTTACATAAGTCAGGCAAAGGTACATTTCCTCTTGGACAAGGCCACCCTTCTCTCATGCTCCGTTTTTCCCTCCCTTCCCCACCACTAGTTGTAGAGCTCATTTTCAGCATAGTGTCTAGTGAGTGCCACTGCAGCATTTGTTCACCCTTTGTGTGTGCTTCCATTTCTGTGCCTGCCCTCATACTCCCAAAGACACAGACAAGCAAGACAAAAAAGAAAATGAAAACAGCAAAAAAAAAAAAAAAAAAAAAGGGAAAAAATCTTGTTTCCATTTCCTGGAATTCATTTCGATAAATGTTCTGTATGCTTAGAGGCACATGGGCATTGCACCTTTCTGTACCTCTCCTAAGAGTGTCTTCCTTTGGTCTGTGTGTGAATGCCTAGAGACCTGTATCATTTATTTTCAGTTTTGTGAGGAATCTCCAAACTACCTTCCATAGCGGTTGAGCAAGTTTACATTCCCATCACAGTGGACTGGAGTCCCTTTCCACCTACATCCCCACTGGTCAGCTACTGCCTGTATTCCTGATGCTGGCCTTCCCATTCTGCCTGGGGTGAGGTGGAGCCTGTATCTTCTTTATGGCTGAGGGGCTGAGTATTTCCTCATGTCTGTTCGCCATTTTTACTTCTTCTGGGAAGTCTCTATTAAGCTTGTTTGCCCATTAATTGGGTTGTCTATTCTTTGAGGGTGTACTTTCTTAGATATTAATTAGGCCATTGTCTGATGTATAGCTAGCAAAGATCTTTTCTCCTTCTACAGGCTCTTGTTAGCTTGTTAACAATGTCCTCTGCCATGCAGAAACTTCTTAGTTTGATGCGATCCCCTCTGTCACTTCTCTATTTGGTTTGCTGAGCCGCTGGAACCTGACTGAGAAAGTTCCTGCCTGTGCCAAGAAGTTCTTCAAGTCTGCATTGAGGTCTTCAATCCATTTTGAACTGATATTAGGTACAGGGTGACAGGGATCCAGTCTGTTCTATGCACGTTTCCATCCTCCTTTCTGTTCCTTCCAACTAAACCCAACCCTGCAGGGAACCCTCAAGACGCTGACTTGCTGTAGCCTCTGTGGTCTCCACGCGTGCCCTGATTCTCCCACTGTCCCGGGACTCGCCCTCAAACACAGATGGTGCCCTTTCAGGTCACTGTGCAAACGAGGATGGATGCCAGTGAGTTTTTAGGATAGCCTATAGAGACAAGTTCTAGAAGATGGAGCTGGAAACGCGGGCAGCGAGAGCCGCCTACTGCACCTGGGGCAGTGGAGCCTTGGGGACTGGGCCTGAGCAGAATGGCAGCCGCTAGTGTATTCTAACAGCTCGGGGTGCCAATAGCGTGGGGTTCTAACAGTGCGGGGGGGGGGGGGTAGATCCATTAAAACCCTTTAAGATGGACTTAACCAGGTGAATAATAGCTCAAAGGAGAGGAGGAGAGAGGTGGCTGCCAGTTGGCTTAGACTTGCTCAGGGTTCCCTGGCATGGGGATGTGCACAGGGCAGGAGGAACAGAGAGAGGCCAGAGAAGAGCGTGTGGGCAGCCCCTGGCCCCAGCGCGCCTCCTCAGGGACAGGACTTGGTGAAGGCCTCTTGCAGCGGGGCCTGGTGCTGGTCCTAAGCCTCCACTGCCTTGGGGCCTGGGGGTTGGGAGGCTTTCCAGGGGCTTTCCAGGTCTCACTTGTGGAATTTCCAGTGGGGGTTGGACACTGGAAGTAGAAGCTGATTTGACCACAGCCGTGTGTGGCCTCCACACAGAACAGCACTGGAGGCATCCGCGGCAGCGCTCGCCTCCACTGCAGACAGAGGGCACGGGGAGCCACGCGGGGCCCTGGGGTCAGCGCACATGTTCAGGTCAGTCTCCTGCCGGGCACTCACATTAGTGCAGACACTCGAGGACGTGCTGTCAGCTTATTTAGAGCTTGGTCTAATGTAGTACACATTTCATCCTGAAGGCTGGGGTGAAATTATCCCCGGTGTCCCCAGGGCTGCTGCTGCTGGGAAGCACCTGCTAGCACAGCCTCCCTCCCTTACACACGGTGCACCGAGGACAGGACGGCTTCGGGATGCGCCGCGTGGGCAGGTTCTCGAGCCAGAATAACCACCCCCACAGCCATGCACCGGGGACCACCAGGCCTCTGGTTCACCAGAACCTCCCACAGGAACCCCGGAACAAATATTGAGCCCATGATTCTATGAAACTGACAGTGTGAAACTGGAGAACAGCCCATTGCAGTTCATACTGATACGCACGCACGCACGCACGCACACCATCCCCTGGAGCGGGGGTGGTGGGAACCTCTGTTCCCCTTCTGGCCCAGTTGCAGGGCCGAGAAAATGCAGACGATGGATGGTTTGCTGAATTACGTTCCTGCTTTGAAGCTGTGTGGACACAGGTGCCTGCTCAGTCTGACAACAAATAGTGGGACGCCGCCTTTTACAAATAATACAGACTGTCGGTAGGCCTCAGAGTCTGATAGGGGCTGCGCTCAGCTTGATGTGGACGGAACCAGACTGAAAGTGCAGTGAGTTGTGTCTGGAAACACAGTGTAGCTGATTCTGAAAACCATGTTAATTAGGAAACTTGACCACAGTCCTAAAGCTAAAACTATGACTTTGGTGTCCCTTGAGACACGTGGCAGGAGGAAAGGGGCGACCTCTGAAGAGAGAGAGCGAGCCCACGTCTGCATAGGTTCCTTGGCACTTTGCTGGCACTGTGCCGGCCGCCATGTTTGGATGGTTGGCAGGCAGCATGCTAGATGGACTCGCCACCACATCTCATAATAACCTGTGATGCAGGACTGATTATGATCCCGTTTCATTGTGGATGCGGGGAAGATAAGTATCGTGCCCATTAAGTACACTGCTAGAAGTCCATAGCCAAGGAAGACTAGAGAATTCTGGGATCCGAGGTCAAAGCACTGGCCTTTTCCCCAGCAACTGGACAGAAGGGAGGCTGAGACTAAACAGCAGACATGGTTCCGCGGGGGTGGGCGGGACTGCGTCTGGAGTACCCAGAGGAACCCCCCCCCTTCCTCTTGCCTCCTGGACTGGCTCTCGCTCCTTCATCTGGGGAGTCCCTGAAGGCCGTATTCTAGATGATGTAGGAGGGAGCGGCCGGCTCTGTGAATTCAGGTCCCGACGGTTGGGTCATCGCCCAGTCGCGTGTTTTGCTCACTGTAATGCCATATAAACGTTTGCGAGGAAGGCAAGGGACCTGGTGCAGGAAAATGAGAAGGTTCGGAGTGCCTGCTGAGGATGTGTCACGACCGGCCAGCGTGACAGATCATTTTTCTTTCCAAGTCACCTGCAACCTATAGCTACGTGAGCATCCATGCGGCTGCGCGGTGACAGTGTTTTAAAGCCGCAGCTTTGAGCGGGGAGGGGGTTCTGTGACACACTTGGCTTCGTCTTTGCATTCCACGAGGGTTGCCATGAGTGAAATGAGAAAATAAGAGAAAGCAAGAAGTCAGACAGTGCTATCTATCGTTTCCACTGCTCAAAACGGATTCTGACCATGCATGGAATTGTGTTCTTGGAGGGCGCCCCACCCAGCAGCCGTACCCAGAGCAGCCAGTCCAGCAGGGCAACATGGCTGCCCTCCTTCCCATGCGTTCTTACAGTAGCAGCAATGGGAAGGGAAGCAGGAAAGACACCTCATCCTGTGCAGGGGGAGACTCGCACCGCACGGATCTTTTGCCAAAAGTGATGCTGCTTCAGAAGCTGCATTTGCAGCGAGCAGGCCCCGCCCAGCAGGTGAGAGCGCTGGCCAGACGGACGTCAGGGATGATAGCAAGGGGCAGAGAACAAGAAGCCACAGTGCCACCAAGTCTGCTGTCCAGCAGGCAGTGACGAAGAGGGGGCCAGGCAGGGCGCAGGGCACCAAGCGGGCACAGGAGGCCAAGTACTGCTGGGAAGAATAAACGAGCCAGCGTGTGCAAAGAGTCGGGGCAGCCTCAGCCCCTCAGCTGGCTCAGGCTCATCTTCATTAGCATGAATAATGCATGAGTGATCCCTGCCATCCAGGAGAGAGACTTAAACTAATAAATTACAGCCCTGTGCAAAGAGTGCGTGGGGGGGGGGGGGGAGCAGCAGGGAGAGAAATAACAAAGGGGGTGCAAAAGGTCCCACCTTGAGAAGTGACGTTCACAGCTCAGGGGTTCCTAACCGTGACTCAACAAATGATCCCCCTGAGAGGCTTTAAACACCCCCTCCCCCTCAGTCACCTCTCTGGGAGTGAGAGCAAGCCCGTCATCCCACACGCTGGCTGTGGAGCCATCGCCGCCAACCAGACATAAAATGACCGCATGTGAACCACTCACCAGAGTGCCAGGGCTCAGAACAGGGAGCTAAGGGGGCCTCGAAGAACTGCAGTTGGTCTAGCCTGAGTACTTGGATGGGGAGAAGTGGGGAGAAGTAAATGAAGGTGTGCAGGCAAACTTGGAGCCTCCCAGGAGACCAAACCCACACAGGAATTTAGTAGGAGCAATTCAGTGGGGAGGGAGAATGCTGAGCAGTTTCTATTGGAAAACCGAAGGAATCATTCACTTCAGTGGAGAATTAGAGTCAGGAATCAGGCACCAAGAAGTAGAGTAAGGTCCAGGGAGCAGCTGGCTACCCGCCCAGGGCTGACACAGACAGCACCCAGGGGAAGGCCTGGCCTCTGTCAGGCCTGGACAGTGTGGCTTGCACTGTTGTGTGGCTTGCTAGAAATCAGCCCTGTGAAGAGGCAGGGGAGCCCGTTTCTTCTCACTGGAGCCATGGGCAGAGCCAGGGAGTGACCCCTGGGTTGTCCTCCAAGCCAGTGGAGGCCGGCTGAGCTTCCACGGCCTGGCCAGGGAAGTAGCCAGGCTGGGGCTTAGCCCAGGCCGCCTTCCCTCCACGTCCCGCGTCCCCCACCTCCACCGGCCACGCAGACGCAGGCGAGGCCTGTCTGTGTGGTCTGCTTGCATACGGAAGGGCCTGTCCCCGGTGAGGAGGGTGGCAAAGGCTGCCTTGGGGAGGTAGATGGCCCACAGTGGAGAGGCCTAGCCTGGAACCTGGGAGGAAGGGTTGTCCCCAGGGGGGACTTGGTACAGGGTTGGTTTTCCTCCCCCAGATTTCAGGGATGCAGTCAGCACGGGCTGGTGCCTGCGGAGGGTGATTCCCACCCAGTCACACAGGCCAACCCAGGCTTGTGTTTTCTTTCAGGGGGAGAAGTGGCCAAACCACGGTTTGCTCAGTTCTTCCACGGCAGCCTGGCCAGTCTCACCATCCGCCCTGGCAAGATGGAAAGCCAGAAGGTGATTTCCTGCCTTCAGGCCTGCAAAGAAGGACTGGATATTAATTCCTTGGAAAGCCTTGGGCAAGGAATAAAGGTAAGGAAGGAGCTGACACCACCCCGATAAGAGACTGATTTATGAGACTGCAGCAGCCCCAAGCCCAAGCCGGCTTGAGATGGGGCCAGAGCCATGGAAGGTGGGCACGCTGGTGACTGTGACCTCTAGGATGGACTCTGCTGCCATCTCCTGAAACTTAAGAGTCAAGTCCTTGGGTCTGACCAGCCCAGCACACTCGAGTCCACAGGTGATCAACAGCTACCTCCAAAGCTGCCATAGTTAACTTGTCTACAGAGTTGTCCTTTGCTTTTTTTACCTAAACAACTGCCCGCAGTAACATTTCAGAAACCCCATTAAGAGAGAAAGGAATGGGAACTCTATATATAGATTTATTTATATAAACATATATATGTAAACATAGTCACATTAGCAAACATTTCATCATATATATGATGAATATATATAGTATGTTACATTATACACAATTATACATCCAATTACATAATGTATGAATAATAGACATGTGACATGTATGTGCGTCTAGTAATACATTGTCTAATATGTCATCTAGGATGTAATATATCTGTGTATGTATACATATATATTAATTTATAGTATATCTAAATTGTAATATAGTACCATGCAACTTTATACATTGTCCATTATGATATATTACCCATGCAGTATCCCTATATTACCCATTTACTATTTGACGTCTTACCCATGTAATATCTCCTATATTAGATGTGCAATATATAGCAATATCTTCTATGTGACCCACTTAATATTTGACATCTTACCCATGTAATATAGAGGCTATTACATGTGTGATATGTCGCATATCAGCTGTGTGATATATAAAATATTGCATAGGTGATGTGTGATATTACTTAGATGTGCAATATAATACATATTAGATAAGTCATATATTACATGTGCGGTATATTATGGATATGCAATATGACTTTACTAAGTAGGCAATATGCCATGTATTAGACATGTAATATAGAAGATATTGAATGTATAATATAGGACATATTACATAGGTGATATATTACATGGGTAGTATGTCATATGTTTGATGTGTAATATGAGATATTATATGGGCAAGATGTCAAATACTACACAGGTAATACCTTCCATATCACACATCAAATATATGTAATATTACCTATGTAATATGTCCTATATTACACATTCGATATCTTCTGTATTACGTGTCTATAATACATGACTAATATGTACTATATTGTACATCTAAGTAATATCACACATCACCTATGCAATATCCTCTATATCACACATCTGATATGCGACATATCACACATGTAATATCCTCTATATCACACATCTGATATGCGACATATCACACATGTAATATCCTCTATATCACACATCTGATATGCGACATATCACACATGTAATATCCTCTATATCACACATCTGATATGCGACATATCACACATGTAATATCCTCTATATCACACATCTGATATGCGACATATCACACATGTAATATCCTCTATATCACACATCTGATATGCGACATATCACACATGTAATATCCTCTATATTACATACCTAATACATTAAGTCTCATATTTCATATATGATACATGTATATTACACATGATGTATTGCCCATTTAATACATGATATATTCTCCATCTGATAGGTGGCATATTACATATCCAATACACAATATATTTTGCACATAATATACTGGCCATGTAATATCCTGCATATTGCACATCTCTTATATGACATATTACACATGTATCTTCTGTATTACATACCTGATACACTAAGTCATTTTATGTACAGCATATCTAATATACAATATATTACACATGTAATATCTTACATATTGTATACATAATATATTGGCATAGATATTTAAAATGTCTAATATTATATATTAAACATGTATTTGATATATAATGTCCAGTTCTTTGCTAGGTCCTAGGAAAAAATGTTTCCAGCTTCCTGTCTCCAGGGAACTCAGTGGCCAATGGACCTTTGTACCCAGGCCTGTTGAGCCCTGGCATTTCCTGAGGGTCTCAAGGGCCAGGCCCCGTTTATCCTACAGCATTATGGATAGGCCTTGGTGGGACCCCCCCTTGGCAAAGGTACCATGGATGCTCCCACTGCCCACATCAGGAATTGAAGGCTTAACCTAGTGAGCATGATTAGCCATGTGGGGTTCAGAGCATTCACTCTGGAGAGAAGGTCAAGGGGAAAGTGGAAGGAGTTCAGAAGCATGGAAAGACAAAATCAGCTGTGCAACATAGCATGTGCACACACACAAAGCAGGTTAACACTTGTCATTGTAAGTGCTGCTCTGACCTCCTCTGTGTGGTTTCTTCCACCCAGGCAGGCCTGCAGTGATCTAGTCTCCAAACCTCTCTTTTTCCAGTACTGGGTTTGCCGCCTGCCTCTGAGCATATCTGCTCAGCTCTGAACCATCCCAAGGGGCCACGGAGTCACAGAGTTCAGCACCACAGAGCAAATGATCCCAACAGGCTGTACTGAATGTACAGTTCTGAAACTACTCAGAACCATGGCTGTTTACTCCTAGCCTATAGAAGAGAAGGTGCTAAAAGAAGTGACGTGAGGCTGTGTGGAGCGCGGGCAGGGGTGCTAACCTGGTTTTCCACTTGTTCAAACCCAAGTGTCTACAGCCAAGCCAAGAACCTGTGAGAAGTTAATAAGACACAATTTACAGAGCACCATGGAGGGCTGTTTTATGTTCATTATCTCTTCCTCAAAACAAATTAAATATTATGACCTCGTTCAAAAATAAGGGGACTGGGACTCAGGGGTTTGCCCGAGATAAAGCCATGCTTTTTCCCTCACACGCATATTCCTGGCTGTTTCTCCAGCACTGCTAGAGTCTCGGCTCTGTACTGTGCAATAGAGAATGTTCTATCCTGGCTTTCCTAGCCCCGTCCCAGCCATCCTCATTTTCCCAGTGTGGAAAAGGAAAGAGCAAAACTCCGGAACAGGAAAGTTCTGGGTTCAGATACCCAGATTACCCAAATACCATCCACTGGCTTCGCCCTGATATTTGAATCCCTTTGATCCCAATACTTGGGAGTATAAAATAGATTTTGTGTGATGCTGTGAGAATATATCCTTGCAGCAAATTTAATGGGCTCTCAGCAAATCACAGGTCCTTTTGTGATGGGGTACTTCTTATCTGCTCCAGGCAAAGGGAACTGGCAGGTGTTTAGGGGAACTGGAAAAGTGCCCCGAGAGCCACAGGCAGCCAGGGCAGTGGCAGGAACCAGCTGAGCCTCTGGGAGAGGTGGGCGCAGCATGCCACCAGCCCCAACAAGTCTCCTGCTTAACCAGAGCCCCATTCACGGAGCAGGGACTCCTGTGTGAACGACGTTGATGGTGGACCCAACTCCGTCCTATGTGACTTGGAATCTCTGGCAGCCAGGCCGGGGTGTAATGAAGACCTGAGCTTTCCCAGGGGCAGCGGTGGGCTGCGCCCTCTGCTGGTGGCGGTGGGATGTGCCAGGGGCTTCCTCTCGGCTATTTTCCTGGGGGGAGGGGAGGGGGAGGCGTGGCAAAGCTGAGGAAATGTCTGCACAGGAAGAATCAGAAGGTTGGAGATGTCAGGGAAGGGGCAAAAACAACTCCCATAGCACAGGTGTTTTTAGGGAAATGACCTTGAATGTTCTTCAATCAGCTACTTCCTCAAAATCTTACTGGTAACTTCAAGTAATTCTTGTTGAGAATGTGTCAGGAGCAGTGCTCGGCTGCTGGGGTTCGGGGTGGGGGAAGGGAACAGTGGTCTCTCTGGAGAAGCCCTCACTCGTGAGGGGATGCCGGATACGAGGGTGGAGGACGGAATGCATGGGTAAGGAACCCGCTTGGGAGCAGAGCATCTCATGGAAAGCGTGAGACCCAGGGGCAGAAAGCCACCGAGGGAAGAGCGAGGTCAAAGACTGCAGGGTGGACTAGAAGTAGCTCAAGGCTACAGACAGAGCCAACACCCAAGTTTGGGGTTCAGAGGTGGGAGTGGGTGGTGTGGGCACCCCTCTGCCGAGGCCTGGCTTCCAGGCCACGGTGTCTGGGTTTTCAGAGTTCAGCCCTGAGACAGACCAGTGCGGGCAGGATGCCTCATCCCTGGAGGGTCCACGCATACCAGATAACTACCAGGAAGTGCTGCGGATGTGAAATCATGAACCCATGCATGCAGTTTCCCTCGTACTGCCCTGGACAGCTTCCAGCACTCTCTACCCACTGACCACTACTGTCCTCTTGCAATTCCCGTTGTGTCTTCCAGTATCACTTCAACCCCTCGCAGTCCGTCCTGGTGATGGAAGGTGATGACATCGGCAACATCAACGGAGCCCTCCAGAAAGTCTCCTACATCAACTCCAGGCCGTTCCCAACAGCCGGAGTGCGGCGTCTCAGGCTCTCCTCCAAAGTCCAGTGAGTGGCCGGCAGCCGAGGCCTTCAGTTAACGGGGCTGACGATGCTGCTGTCACCGGGCTCTGTGTAACTCTCAGTGCTTTCTCGGCTAGGAAGGGGCCCAGGAGGTAGAAATAGTGCCACAGGCACCCAAGGAGGAAAGGGTCTCAGAAATAAAGGAGTGGGGGCCCGGGAGAGGTGCCCACAGGAGGAGGCAGCTCTGCCCCATGGAGCGGAGGAGGAGAGCCAGCTCCCCGCTGCAGCCAAGAAGGGGCCCAGACTGGCCGTGGCCTAGCCCCGAGGCCAGACTACTTTCCGTGGCAAGGGAAGGGGGTAGAGGTGGCAGGAAGCCGTGGAGGAGGAAGGTGGAAAGGCAGCAGGAAGCTGTCGTGGAGGAAGGTGGAAAGGCTGGGTAGGGGACCAGCCCAGACAGGAAGATGGCTGTCTGCAGAGCTCAGCCAACTGTCCCAGGGCACTCACCTGGCTCTGGCCTCGGTGATGAAGCCCACGTTGCTATCACAGTGCGGGGGGGGGGGGGGGGGGGGGGGGGACTAAGGGCACCCAGTCAACGAGTCAACGAGAGTCGGCTGTCCACACTGAGCTCACACCGTGATGCGGGCTCTGGGAGGCTTGTTGGCTTGAGTCTTCCATGTTGAGTCCGTTGCTGTAGGGTAGAGTCCCTGCTTCCCCATTGCAGACGTGAAGAAACAGGTTCGTGCTGGCCAGGAGCACCCAGGAGGTCCAGGGCCCCCTCCCTCTTACACTCTGGCCGATCCTGGCTGCCCCTCCTCTGGGGGACACCAGGGCAGGAAGCGTAAGGGCGGCAGCCCCCGTCTCCGGAGGAGGTGCATCTGTGGGGCTCCCTCTTATTGAGGGAGGCCAGTGCCAGAGCGCCTAGCTGCAGTGGGAGAACCTGGCCCTGGGGTCTCATTTAGCAAGGCTGCTATAACAAACCAGCTAGACAACAATTTGCTTGCCCAGTACTAATGCACATAACAAGCAGTTGCTATCTAATTAATATGGTCATTGATTACTTTGTTAAAGGATAATGAAAGCTTTAATGGCTGCTTGTTGCTCCCATAGAAAATTCTCCTTCCTCTCAGGAGCCAGTCTTTTCAGTCCTTGCATGACTAACAGTTTGGATTATAATGCGGCTTTAAATCCAAAGCTCTGCTACAATCCTCAGAGACTTCACAGACAACGTGTCCTGACAAGGACTAGGGGTGACAGATCCCCTTGTCTGCGCTTCATTTGGGGGGGGGGGTGTTTCCCCAGGTGCTTTGGCGAAGACGTGTGCATCAGCATCCCCGATGTAGATGCCTACGTGATGGTCCTGCAGGCCATCGAGCCCCAGATCACCCTTCAGGGCACAGACCGCTTCTGGAGACCCGCTGCCCAGTTCCAGAGTGCCAGGGGAGTGGCCCTCTTCCCCGACATCAAGATCGTGAGCACCTTCGCCAAAGCCGAGCCTTCAGGTGACATGAAGACGGCAGGTACAGATGCTTGGGGTTGGGGGCACCTGAATTCTCACAGCCATGAGCTGGCACGCACTGTGACAACCCAGATAAACACCAGGAGGAGAGCGGATGGCTGAGCAAAGCGTGGCCGACCCTTCCCATCAGTAGGGGGCTGAGACAGGAGCCCAAGGGAGGCTTTGCCCACACAAGGTGATCTGGCCATGGGAGGAGGAAGGACGCCTCGGGCTCACAGTGGGATTCTCCAAGAATCATCTGAGCCAAGTGGTTTCCGCTTCCCTTCCCCTCCCCACAGCCGCCCAAAGATCCTGCAGTGAGCATGAGCCATGAGCCGTGTCGTGTGCCAAAAGAGAACTCAACTTCCTCCTGACACACAGGGAAGTTAGGTCTCGTTCAGCAGCTGCTCTGAGCTCTCAGGAAGCTATCGGGCCATTCTTCCTACCAGTTTGCTTATGGGGAAGGTAGCTCAAGGAAGAAGGGTCTTAAATTATCTGTCAGGGAGAAACCATTTCACTACACCCGCAACTGCAGGGTGTGCTGGTGGGGAAGGGAGGAGGGAGGAACAACCTTTTTGCTCTTGGAGGGAGGGGAGCTTCAGGGCATGAGGCCGAAGATCCATCGACAACTGTCCTTTGCTGTCTCTCCAAGTCAACTCTCCCAGCTCCCTCTCTCCACTCTGAACGCCAGGGCTAATGATGTGCCCGGTGCCAGTGGGCCCGAGTCTCTGAGGAGCTGCTTCTATAATAATCCTCATTACCCACTGCCTCCAACCACACTCGTCCCTGTGGATACTCACAGACTCGGGGAAGCCCTCCTGAGCTCATAAAAATAGCTGGAGCCTTCACCTGTCCACCCAAGGCGGTTTCCTAGTTACAAGCCCAAGTGCGTTAGGTCATGTGATCCGTTCTCATGTGTGGCTATGATCAGACAGGAAAAGGAAGGCTGCTGTCCTCAGTGGTTACCGCCCCCAGAGCACCTGGACTTGCTGCCACGACACCACACGCGACACCGCATGCAGGCAATGCAGGGAAAGGCAATTATCCAGGCCCAAGTTTCAACTTCCATTTTATGAGAGAAGCACAGCCAAGTGCCGAAGACTACTGTTAGTTGTTTTAACTTTCCCCTCTTGCTGTTGGAACAATCAGCATTATGGTCATTGTAACTAGGCCTATCTGGTCCCCAGAAGCAACTTCTGCTCCACAACAGACTCTTCTGAAGACAGGAGTCCCCAACACACACACACAATGTAGACATGGTAGATATAATAGTGACAGCAGGAGAGAACTGGGGGGAAATGGCAAAACCAGGACACCCCTAATCTAGCATGAGCTCTGCCATCCCTATCAGCAAATAGAAGGAGGGTGATCTCAGGAAACGCAGATGTAGTGAGGAGCCATTTGAAACTACCATGTACACCACCATTAACAACAGGCCGTATCTCTTGTGTATAATGCTGTTTTTAGGTTTTGCTAATAATACATGAAACCCTTGTGGGTTGATGAGTTAAAAATTAAGCCTGGAGAAATTATTTATAACAGTATATCTAATGAGAGTAGTAATACTTACTGGTGCCACTGGAAAATTTTGAAAATCATTTTGATTATTTAAAATAATTTTCCTGTCCCTGGTGATGCCTGAAGTTTCTATTTTCATAAATATTTTAATGCATACAATATTTAGTGCACTTTGGAAATAGATACATATCCTTACTTAAAATGATCTCAGCTGACAGATCATTAAAAGGCATGCAAAATCCAGAATATTAACTCGGACACCTGTGGCTCATGCCTATAACCTTAGCTATTCAGGAAGCTGACATATGAGGATCACAGTTTAAAGCCAGCGCAGGCACAAAAGTTGAGAGGCTCCTACCTTTAGTTAACCAGCAAAAAGCTGGAAGTGGAGATATGGTTCCAGTGGTAGAATGCCAGCCATGAGCAAAAAAGCTGAGAGCTCAGGGCTCTGTGTTTAAGCCCCAGTACTAGTGCACACGCATGTGAGCGCACACACAAACCAAGTCAAGAACACTTGAAAACCTTGTTTTCCAAGTATAGGATGATAAGAGTGTTTTCTGCCCAGCTCCTCCCTGCACTCCCCGCTGCTCCCTTGGGCCTCCCATCTCCCCACTGGCAGATGAGGATTAAAACAGCACTCCCTCTGCTGTCCATCTATAAACATGGCTTGCCCAAGGCCTGGCACATTGCACACGTTTGTAAATAGGAGTTGAACTTAGTCCTGACTCACGGTCCAACGTTCCAGTCCTCAGACATTCCTTTGGGAATTCAGGCAAAGACCACTGGACTGGCCAGCTTGCTAACCTGCCTCCCTGCGAGCCCACTAACTAATGAACTTAGCTTCATTTATCAATTATTCATTAACCATTGGTTCTATTGTATTGCTATTAATTACTGATCTGGCTCCACTGGAACCAAGTACAGCAGTAACCCTTCCATGGCAGCTGTGCCACCGATACTCAGGATTTATTCGGGGCCTCTGCCCTTGAGGCCTGGGGAGGGGAAGCGCACGCACAGGCACACGCACAGTGGCCATGCAGCGGAAGGTACCGGAGCATGGTGGGGAGCTACTCTGCCACCCCCCAAATGCCAGCCACAGTGGGGCTGTCTCCCTGGCTGCCTTGGGATGAGGAAGCGGGTGGGCTGCTGTGACATCCACTTGTGACTCCTACCCATCTGCGCTGCCCGCCTGGGGAGTGGAGAGTCTTCCCTTGACCATCTGGACCTGGGGTGCATGCCGGGCGTGGGCCGAGCTGCAGTCACACCTCTGCTTTCCACGCAGCCCCCAGAGCCGCAGTGCTGGAGGAAATGCTTCACAACCTGGACTTCTGTGACATCCTGGTGCTGGGAGGGGACCTGGACCCCAGGCAGGAGTGCTTGGAGCTCAGCCACAGTGAGCTCCACCAGCGGCACCTGGATGCCACCAACTCCTCCGCCGGCTACTCCGTCTATGGTAAACCCCGCACAGCCCTCAGCTCCACCCCAGAGAGGGTCAGGGGATCTGTCCTGTGTCCCTGCCCCCTCCTCCCCCTTCCCACATCTCTCCCACCTCCTCCTCCCCCTCCCCCATCTCCTCCTCTTCCTCCCTTTCCCATCTCCTCCCCCTTCCTTTTCCTGCCTCCATCTCCTCATCTTCCTTCTCCCCCTCTTCCTCCTCTTTCTGCCTCCCCCATCTCCTCCTCTTCCCTCCCTATCTTCCTCCTCTCTTCCTCTCTCCCCATCTGTTCCTCCTCCTCCTCTTCCTGCTTTCTCCATCTCCTCCTCCTCCTGCCTCCCCCACCTCTCCTCATCCCATCCCTTCCTGCTTCCCCATCTCTTCTTCCTGCTCCCCCTCCTCCTTGCCTCTTGGTGACAGGGTGGTCTCTCAACGCAGGTGTGGGCTCCATGAGCCGCTATGAGCAGGTGCTGCGTCACCTCCGATACCGCAACTGGCACCCAACCTCCCTCGAGGCGCGGCAGTTCCGGATCAAGTGCTCCGAGCTCAATGGGCGCTACACCAGCAATGAGTTCAACGTGGAGGTGAGTGGGGCCTGCCAAGACTTCTGGGGTCCCAACTCCCCTGGCCATTCCCACGTTCCTTCAGGAAAGCGATGGCCGCCCCTGGTAAATAGCTCTGCCCTTCCTTCCAGGTTGGAGTCCTGCATGAAGTCAGAGTCTCAGACGAGCATGTCAACCACCTCATCGTGCAACCGCCCTTCCTCCAGTCTGTCCACCACCCGGAGTCCCGGAGTAGCATTCGGCGCAGCTCAGGTAGGGAGCCTAAAAGGACCCCAGATGGTCTCTGGGACCCAACACATCCGTTGTAGCAGCCAAAGGCGCCTGGCACTAAGGGAAGGAGGAATGGCCATCTCTGAGGTGCCCACACCTTCAGGAGGGGCCAGCCAACAAAGCTAGAAGTTGCACGTGGCATATAGTAGCAGAGGTGGTAGAAAGGGCTGGGGCAAACATGCTAGCACTTCGACTCAACTAAAGGCAAAGCTTTCCACAAAAGCCTTACAAACACACACACCACATTCCAGAGTCCTCTGTCCACCCTGCTGTCTGAGCATGTGCTCTAGTGCATCACCATCTGGTGGGCGCTGTGTCTCTTCCTCCTGCATTTATGGTTCCTGATCTCAGTGGGAGCTCCCCTCCCCCTATACCTGGAGGGGGAATCTTGGGATAGAAGAATCTGTACATCGAGTGATGCCTACTCTGTTCCTATGTACAAAGTCACATGGATTATTTTATGTGCTGCTCACAATTACTGAGAGGATAAGGGCTAAGTCTGTTATCCAGATAGACGACCATGTGGACAAGGGACATGCCCACCCAGAGGCCGACCCAGACAAGTGGAGTCTGTGCATGGGCATTCCGCTCATGCTCCTTCACAAGAGTGGGCTAGACTTTGTGTGTGTGCGTGCGTGCATGCGTGTGCGTGCATGCGCCAGGCCTGGGCACTGTCCCTAAGCTCCTTTTTGCTCAAGGCCACTAGCCTTGAGCCTTGGCACCACTTCCAGCTTCTTCTGTGATTCACTGGAGATAAGTGTCTCACAGATTTTCCTGCCCAGACTGGCTTTGAACCGTGATCCTCACATCTCAGCCTCCTGAGTAGCTAGGATGACAGGCGTGAGCCACCAGCGCCTGGCTAAGCTAGCCCTCTGTTCAGGTCCTGTGGCTTCCTCCCTGTTCCAGTGGTCCCCAGCATCGCCACAGTGGTGGTCATCATCTCGGTGTGCATGCTGGTGTTTGTGGTGGCCATGGGCGTGTACCGCGTCCGCATAGCACACCAGCACTTCGTCCAGGAGACTGAGGCTGCGAAGGAAGCTGAGATGGACTGGGACGACTCTGCGCTGACTATCACAGTCAACCCCATGGAGGTGAGCCTCGGTGGGTGGGAGCTGCTGCGGGGGGGGGGGGTTCTCCCGCTTAGTTCTTCTTAGGCCCCTCCCTACTGGTTCTCCCCATATCTTTGCTTCTCCAGCCCCCTTAAACTGAACAGACCAACTATGCTACTTGAATAAAAATATGTAAATCACTCTCCCCTAACAAACAGAACCAGAAGTTTCTGACCGCAACCAACCATGTGGTCTATTCCTAGTCTCCCCTGTTAGAACGAACACTAAGGGATTCTGTATTAAATTCTCGGTTTACTACCAGCACATGAAAGGGCTGTGCTCCACACTGTCTGCAGAGCTAACCAAGTCTGCAGCTGAGAGAACCCACAGAGAGAAGACAAGTATTCAGATTCACACACCCCAGTCTTCAAACTTAAGATTGTCTGATTTTTTTCCAGTGGGCTAACAGCCATCTCTCCAAGGCCTCTGCTCTAGACACTTGCCTGTCCAGGAAAGCCATGGTGGATGGCTTTGCCCAGGGGTGCTGAGGACTGACGGACACACCAAAGGCGCTGTAGGGGAGCACAGCTGTGCTACATCGTCTATGGCCTTGTTCACAGGCCCCAAACCCAAGTCCAGAGCTGGGGGACCCAGAGAGGTGAGGCGCGAGTCGCCGGATGAAGGGCAGGCAGGGAGAGTGAAGACCAAAACGTGCCCCTTTCCAAAGGAATATTTTTGGAGAACAAAACATCAATACTCTGAGTCTTGGCTTAGAAGCTAAGAGATTGCAAGGGCCTTCCACATTCTGGTAACACAAGCTCTGCATCCTGGGGTGAGCAGTTCCTTTCTCTCCCTGACACGCAGAAACATGAAGGACCAGGGCATGGAGAAGATGAGACCGAAGGCGAGGAGGAAGAGGAGGAGGAGGGAGCAGAAGAAGACTTAAGTTCAAGCAGCAGCAGCAGCAGCTCAGAGGACGGCGAAGAGGAGGAGGAGGAAGTGATGGGGAGAGGCCAGCGCAGGCAGAGCGGCGCCCAGCGAGCCCAGCTGGAGTGGGATGACTCCACGCTGCCCTACTAGTGCCCGCAGGTCTGCTGCCCAGCCCGTGTGTCCCCTCGGTAAAGTCTGACCTGATCTGTGCCCGAGACTAGCTCCCCTGCCTCTGATTTCTATGACAGGTCCGGGGGGAGGGGGGCCTGCACCTCGTGCCTGGGGCTCTGTCGCTCCCAGCCATGGGGCAGCACCAGGGAGCCCAGCATCATCGTCAGTGGGTACTCGGACCCTGGGCTCACCTAGCTTCCTCTCAGTCCACCTGCCGGTACCGAACACCATGCTGGGGTCTGCAGGGGAGAAGGCCCACCTTGACATCACCACCTCCCCAGGCCCACTGGGCTGAGGCACAGTGCGCACCTGACTAGACTCTGTCTCCACCACAACAGCAGAGGACGCTGGTAAAACCTCACCCATTAAGGTCCAAGGGCCCCATGCCTGACGGGAAGGCCCTTGTCAACGTGTAGCTGAGTTTCCAGGAAAAGATAGAGTGTGCACATACTCTTCCTTGCTGAGAGAGCCCTTTCCTCTGCTTCTTGCTGAGGCCACAGAATGCTTACATGTCCAGAGCAGAGCCCATCCCCAGCACTGGGCCGGCCTGCCTGTTTGTGAGCACTGGGACCCATTACCTGCCAGGAAGCATTTCTCCCAGGCCCTGCCGGGGGACGACATAGCAGGACTGCAGCTCAGAGCAAGCAGAAGCAAGGGCTGATGGTGGATGCTCAGGGAGACAGGGTGGGGTGGCTGGGCTCCCCAGGTCAAGGGCAACCCAAGGTCAAGGCTCTCACCACCTCTCCTGGTTCCTGTCTCCTATTTCACACTATCTTTCTTCTAGAGACAACACACCCTTCTCAGACATAGTACAACAAATGTGAGCGCCATCAGTCCCAGATGAAAGTTTGAGAATTTAACTGCTAGGAATTAGAAGCATATTTGCATTAAAGAAGCTGCTGCTTTCTTCTGTTCATAAAAGGAGGAATGCTTTGAGTAGAGGACAGATAATATCCCCAAACCCTAATTTCTCTTTTTCTTTCTTTAATAAGAAAGACTTTTCCACCTTCATTCTAATATGGACACCCTGTGAAGAGAATTGTTGCTATGGTAACAAGTGGGCAATCTTTTGTGGCCAAGAGAATAGCAGGCAAGAATTAAGACTATTACAAGACTTTCACAAAGCCCTGAGGACATGTTTGTTTCAAATGTCTTGAGTTCCTTTTTCTGTCCTCAGTCTGTATGAGCTGTCCTGGTCCTCACACTCCACCCCAATCCCTCCTTTATCTGTTTGGGGGCAAAGAAGGCAATCCCTCGTCATGTGGCATTCAGGTTCAACACAAAGTTCAGCATCTGCTCCTTGTGTTCCCAGTGCCATCCATCAGAGAGCTCAAGGGGGTGTCCACCCAGTGAGACCGACAGCAGGTCTTTGCAACCTTCGGCCTGGAGAGAGTGAATGGTCTGATGGAGTTCTGCCCATCTCCCCTCACTTTTCTGAACCTCACAACCATCCTGTGAAATACCTGAGTTGTCCAAGGTTAGACCTGTTTTGGTGATGAGTGTATTGAGGCCCAGAGGTTGTGTATGGCTTAGAGTCGTTCAAAAGTATAGCAGGGTTAGACTTCCCATCCTCCAAGCTTAGTCCAAGGTTCTATTTATGAGCACACTAATTACATAGTGTGCATTTCCTAACACCTACTATGTGCTAGGCTTTCTACCAGTAGCTATAGGAGAGCGCAAAGCTGAATGACACAAGCCACACACAGGACTTGATAGGTGTAGAAAGGACGCTTCTAGAAACTATGGAGAGAGAGAAGTCAAAAACAGACATAGTCACAAACCAGCCTCTAAAGGAAAAATTGTGAGTTTTTACATCTCCTGTGAATTATCCAAATCACATCCTTCCTTTTTCTCTCAGGCTGGGTTTACACATTTACAAGGAGAAAAATCCATAGGCTTGGCTAAGTCTTAAAAACTTAATAAAGACTTAAATAAAGAGAGGTTCTTTAGTTGAGCATTTGGAGCTACTGAATTCTCTAAACATTATGGCAGTGAGGGGAACACTTTGTATGTTTAAAACTAATTTGAATGGGGTTTTGATTGCAAATATTTAAGTCTAGAATTTATGAGAGCACTTTCTCTCTGCTCTGTCTTCTAGTTTTTGATTGGCTCAAGCCCTCTGGCTGTCTCTTCTGGGTGCATTTCTTTTTGCTTTGTTGGGTGACCTGTTTAGAGTAACAGAAAGTCTTTTTGAGATCCTTGGGTTGAAGGAGGAATTGGGTGAAAATGGCACTTGGCTGGGCATCCAGGATGAGTCATTGAGAAGGCACTGGTGGCTGGACTCATCTGTCTACAGACTTGGTGACCAAGCACCAGAGCCCCTTTCCCTCCCCATTGCTGCATGCCAGCTGACATGGGCTGGTGGTCAGCTGGACTCACTCTTTTCCCAACGCCTGACCATCACCATGGGTGAGCATGAGGGAGGAGAGGTTAGAAAAGGGGAGTTTCAGCGGGTATCCAGGTGAGTGATGGTAATATCACTTGCCCTCACCAGATGTGAAAAGTGTCACTATTCAGCCTGGCACTCTGAAGCCTGTGTGCTGCTCTCACCCAGATGTCAGTAGAGCAGATTCGGCCATGCGCGGAACAGCTGAGCAGTTCACGACCTGTCTTGCCAAGTGGATGCCATCAGCCCCGCTATTCAGAGTTTGGTAAAAGATGGGCTAACACCTCAGATGCCACAGAGGAGGCAAAAGAGGAAGCCGAGATTGGAAAGGGCCAGTACAGCATTGCCCCAGTGGACTAAAGCAGCCAATTAGCTGGTGAACCATCATAAAGAATATTAAAAAATACCTCCCATACATTTGGTCAGATGTTGTTCACATCTGACCAAGGCCTGGATGCATTTAGATGGCAAAAATGTCATGTTAGTGGGTTCTCTTTTAGTTATCACTTTCTAGAATCAAACTGTCACCCTACTATGCAGGGATTATAGACCAGCCCATGTCTGGATTTAACTATGGCCACCCCTGACCGTCATGGGGACTGTCCAGGAGGAAGAGGCCTCTGCCAAGAAGACATCCTCCCTTCCTCCAAGCCAGGGACCAGCAAACTTTATCTAGAAAGAACCAGACAGGAAATACGTGGGACTGTGCAGGCCATACGGTCTCTGCTACAAGGAGTCCCATCTGCCTTGTAGTGCGAAAGCTACCATAATGTAAAAAAATGAATATTCCAATAAAACTTTATTGAGAGACACTGAAAAACAATTTCATAGGTCACGAATTTTACTCTTAAAAAAATTGAAATCACGTAGGCCATACAAAAATTAGCAGCCAGCCAGATTTGGTCCAAGGACTGTACTTAGGGATCCCATACCAAAAACAGAAAGCAAACTGCTTCCCCAGTCCTCACGCCACCCACCCACAGGGTTCTGCCTCAAACAGTACAGCAGGAAAATGCCATCATCATCATCATCATCATGAAACAGTTTTAGAAGTTCATGTTCTAAGAGAGGAACAACAAAAAAAGCCCTGGTTGTTTTTGAATTCAAAAACTCATATAAATATTCCTGAGGCTGCAGGACTTGGATCCAGAGCACTGACTCCACTAAGCAAATGGCGCTGCCCACCAAGCTTTGTGCCTTCTCAGCACCACTCGGTCCATAATGATTTCTAAGCCGGAATGTTCATTAGCTCAGACTGGTGTGCATTTCAGCCCTGCTCAATTCATTGCTCTAAAAATGATCCTAAAGACGTGTGACTATTTGAATCAATAGCAACATAATCAGGAGAAAGCCCAGCCCAGCACACTTCAGAATTAGCAGCCTTTTTGGCTGTATGACTCAATGCTGACAAGAAGAAGGAAAAAAAAAAAGCCTTTTATTCCCCGTCTCCCCATGTAAATTAACTAGATATATTTTTTAAAAAGTAATGGAGAAAGTCTAAGTCTCTAAGAGAATTTTCCAGCGAAAAGTAGATGCTATTTCCAGGAGAATTTTCCACCCCCTAGGGACCCCAAAGCCTCTGCAATGAGCTGTGGCAGCTAGGGATGGCACGGGAGGCTGTCTACATCAGACATTTATCGAGGCTGACAAGTTGAAGCCCTTGGCGCAGTTTAATTTTCATGTAACCGCTTCCCGTTGTCCAGCTATAGGCAAAGCAAATGAGCAGTGGAAGTTTTGAAGTCTACCCCTCAGCATCCTCATTTTCCTGCCTTTATTTGCTTTCGGTGGCTATACTCTCAAGCGCTTGCTATAGTTTTTCACTGGACACACTGAATGGAAAGGGGAAAGTTGTGGATTAGGAGCTGAGCTTGACTCTGTCCCAGGGAGTCAGAGAGAGACAGAAGTCACCACCACCAACACCCCAGAAAGCAATCAGACCATTGCTGTGTGCATCAGTGAACAGATGGGAGTCTGTGTTTGCATTTGTGTTCAATGTAACCCAGCAAGTGCTGGCTGTGCACCTGTGTGTGCACCAGGCCCTGCGCCAGGAGCAGGGGAGGGAAGATGAATGGCACCGGCCCTGCACATGAGGGTTTATAAGCTGTTGCAGTGTTCCCTTCGCAGTAGTGGAGGCTGTTCACAAGGAGTCGGGATGAGTGGGGGCAGAAATCTGTGGAGGGATAATTGCTTTGCAATTTTCCATCCTAAGTCAGACAGTAAGATGTAATCTAAGGGACCTTGACATGCCTCTCTGAGCAGACTAAGAAAAATCTCTAGGGCGTATTTCATGTTTGTCTAAATGTTCCTTAATTATACCTGAGCCTAGTTCAGTTCAGCTAGAAAGGAAAACCCTTCCTGTGGGCAGACAGCATGGCTGATGGCTAAGAGTCAGTGAAATAAACTGAAGCTAGCCCAAGTTAAGAAGAGTGACCCAGGTAGATAAGTTAGGACCAAAGGCAAGGCCGGGCTGATGTGAGGGTGCCCCTGTGAGGCCCGCAGGGGCGTGGTCAGAAGGACCTGCGAAGTGTGCTGTGGATCTCTGGCTCTCAAGGCGTGGTCTGTAGACAAGCATTACTTATCACCTCAAAACCATCAAAAATGTAAATTCTCAGACCTCCACCCAAGCCAGAAACTTTAAGTAAAACCCAGAGAGCTATG